TATACATAAAAATATATAAATTTTATGCATTTTTAAAGTTAATGAATATAAATAATTTCGAATGCATGTAACATACCTTGCTATAAACTTTATGTCAACGTAACGAATTAAAAGTATATTACATCACTTATACAAGAAAATTTATGAGAAAAATGTATAGTTCATTAGTGATCAAACAATCGTCCGCGCGCAGCTGAAGCATCAACCTTACAAAATGAGTTCAATTTTATTATTATATGTATCCACTTTAAATTATTTTAACTTATGTATACATAATTAGAACCGAAAGTAATTGACTTAGTTGAATTCACAAGAACTCATCCTGAATCTACCTCTATCCTTAAAATTCAAAAGGCAAATCGTCAAAATCAATTGAACCCAACATCATATCCATCTCCAAACTATGAGTGCTAGTACAACAAGAAGAGTAAACTGATCCAGATGAGATATAATCCACATTATCAGATCCCGACGATGACGCCACCGCCATAACATCGCCGGAGGTTTCAGCTACCGGGGTCCAAGAATCATTGGCCGGAAGAAAGTAGTCGGAGGTTGATGATTGGTTTTGGTTGTTATTAGGGTAGAAGCAACTTAGAGAGTCTTCCTCTTTGGTTTCTTTTTTTGTTGAAAATAATGTGGGAAAATTATAAGGATGGTAATAATGATTATCCTTGGAATTAAAACTGAGTAGGATTGAAGTATCCTCATAATCTATTGAAGAATCTAAGAGCATTCGAGAAACTGTGGGGTGAGTTTTACATGTGTGATGACCTTGGTATATTGTCCGAAACTGTGGTGGATTGGCTTGAATTCTTTGCACTTGTTTAATTGCTTCACATCCTTGATCAAATTTATTGGTACATCTATAATAATGCCTGCATATTAATGCACATACCAATAAATCAGTCAATATTAATCAACTAATTAAATGAAGGGAACATTGGAACAACGATAAAGTTATCTCCGTGTGATCTATAAGTCACATGTTTGAGCCGTAGAAAAGCCACTAAGAGGGTGTTTGGATTGTCTTTTAAGCTGGTCAAATTAACTTTTAAGCTATTTTAAACTTTTTCACTATTTGGCAAAGTTAAAAAGTACTTAAATAAGTTAAAAACTGCTTCAAAAAAGCCAAAAGCAATAAGTTGGGCAACCCCAACTTATTGCTCTTTGGCTTAAAAGTTATTTCTGCATAAAAGCCACTTTTTAAATCCAATCCAAACGGGTGCTTGCATTAAGGTAGACTGTCTACATCACACCCTTAGAGATGCAGCCTTTCCACGAACCTTACGTGAATGCAGGATACTTTGTGCACCAGACTGCATTTTTTATTAATCAATTGAATCTCAATCTCAATATATAATGATCATTAACCAAAATAATGTAATTAAATAATTTTCTTAATGGAAAGAGGCTTAGTGTTAAGACATAACCTTGGATAAGGGGAATCAAGAATTTGTTTTTGGCCATATTTTCTCCAAACATGTCCATCATCCACCAAAGTTGAGGTTTCTTTTATGCTTTTCGCTGAAATTTTCCTGTTGAAATATTTGCCAATCATTTGTTAGTGACTCACTCAACAATATACTCGGTGTTATTCCACAAGTGGAATCAGAGAAAAGTGAAGTGTACGTGAACCTTACCTTTTCTTGTTGCATCCTCTTCGATCTTTTGATGATGATTTCTTGCAACTGCCCGTTGAGTCTTCCGGCGACATCCGGCCGTCTTTCCGACAAGGAAAAACGGCTACCACCGGAATCGGAGAATTTTCATTGGAGTTGCTAGAGTTTAGTATTGACAAAGTCTTGCAAAATGAACTCATGATTTTCCCTACCAAATTCTCAGCGAAAATATTCGTGTATCCATTTCCTAGAGGTTTTTTTATCACCTCTCTTAGCTTGTGTGTGAATTCTTGGCCGCAATTCAACTCTTTGATTAACATTTTCAGATCAGCCAATGAGTTTTCTGGCCATTGGGAGTCCATTTATATGATGTGTGATATTAATTCTATCAACTATCTACAAGAAGTCAAGGACTAAAATGAGGGCCTATTTATTGTGGGAAAGAAGATGGTAAGAGGTTAATTTAAGAATCTTAATTTTAAGGATAAATTTGTCCTTAGATCCAAGAAATTTCAAACTCCACGTGCATAAAAAACTTTTCAAATTAATACTTTTATTGATCAATAACCGGAGACAATAATGGGGCTATATTTTATGAATTCTCAGTTAGTATTTTACTAAACTTAATAAAGGTAAGACATGTTCGTATTTGAGCTTTTATCATTTAATTATGATTAAATAATTAGTATTATTGGTTAATTTTTTAATTAATTAGATTAAATTGCTTGGTTTGATTTAAAATGGCGAGATATTTTTAAATCAGGCCTTGCAAGGAACACTTAAAAAAATGTCACACTAAAAAATGATGTTTGTGATATGTTGTCACCCTAATATCGTCATCCATGTGATACCTGGCGAGAATTAAATTAAAATGTCAACTGCTGTTTAACAATAGTTAATTGGTAGTAGGAGTAGTTGTTTAGTCATAATTATTGCAAGTTGTGTAGTTGCATTTTCCTGATCCTACGGTTTTGGTGGTTACAAAAATTGTCAGGACTAAGGGTAAGGGTGTCAAATGGACGGGTTGGACTGATTTTGAACGGATTAAAATATGTTGAGTCAATAAATAGGTGGGTCAATGACTCGTCCAAGGGGGCAAATGCACAGATAGCCATTCGCATGGATATTATTTAAATATTAATCAGTACTTATTTTTGTCCTGAAATTTTAAGAAATTTTAACTTCATGATATTTTCGTCCTGCATTTTGAAATGAAAAACTAAAATTCAGGACGCGCTGATTAATTCCTAAATACAACACTTTAGAGTGGCTACCTGATAACATATCAAACAAAAAATAAATTATTTTAAAGATATTTTAGCAAAGTTATTATCAATTTTGGCTAAAAATTCGCTTAACCTTATATGAGTTGAGATGTGTGTGCTGGATCAAAGTAGGCTGAGTCAACGAGTCGTCCAACCCAACCCGCTAAACGAGATAAAGTGACGATGAGTGCATGTGTACAAATTAAGGTTAGGAACAAAAAGAATCTTGAAAAAGAACGTGTAAGCAGAGGATAGGCATATGCCAATCTGCTAAAGCAGAACCAATCATAAACAATTCAAAATCCTGCAAGGAAGAATAAACACAGACCAACTTGAATTCAATAAACAATATATACTTCTATATTTTTGAACCCATAATAAGAAATTAAACAATATAATATTTCAAACCGATAACGATATATACATATTAATAATAACAATTAAAATGCTATAGGGGGAATTAATTCATCAACTATGACGAACTTTAAGAAATTGAATGGGGATGCAAGAAGGGGTAGTTTAATTTGAACTGAGGGGCATGTTCACATGTACAGTTCAACGTTAGACTTTGAGTGATGTTTGCTCCTAATCTCTTCAAACTAGTCTTATTGCTATTGATTGATCCCCCATAGGGTCAGCGAGAATTCATTATTGAGGACAGACAACCACTAATAGAATTTTCAATCAATAAGGTACGTTTCCACCGATTATATTCTGAAACAACACTATCAAACCAATTATTCTTTAAGTATATTTGCCATTTACTAAGAGCTAATAATAATATATAATTGAACTAAATAGTGATGAGTAATTTAAGGACTCAATTAAAGATAATTTATTTTTAACATGAAATAGATTCTTGGACTTAGCAAAATAAAACTATCATCAAACTATAATGTAAAAAGCAAAGAACTTGATTACTATAATAGCAAAAAACTAGACTACCAACTAAGAGTGCAAACGGTTAAATATCTACTACAAAATTTTAAAAACTATATATATATATA